GCGTGGCGGTGGACCGCTCGACTACCACCGTTGTTTTTTTCGTGATGATCATCGGCTGCACAAGGATATAGTTGGGGAGTCAGCATGCCTGAGTTCGGGCTGAAGGCCTTGGAGGCCCTCGGATGCTATGATTGCATCGACTTGCCTAATGTCGCAGGGATCGAGAGTCTCATGAGAGAAGAGAAGTGCAGCTGGTGGAATATGCGCATTCCGAGCACGACGCGTTCGCTGGCCCCTCAGAAAATGCCGGCGGTGAAGGAGCAGGCCGTGGGAAGAAGGGTCGAGGTCGAGGCGGTCGCGGTGCCATCTCTGGCGCCTTCGGTCACCTTGGCGAGCGCAATGCGTTCCGAGGTCAACGTGATGCGGGAGAGGCCATGGTTTGTCCTGCCTTCGCGGAGTGGGTTGGCAAGGCCGAGCGGGATGCCAACGTCCTCAAGCAGGTCCGCAAAGCCCGAGAAGAACGGGGCGATGCGGGCCCAGCCTCCTAAGTCCTTTGTGCCCGCCAGCGACGCGCCCGCATGCGTTGCCGGTGAATTCTCTCCCTTTCCGGGGCTAGACGTGCAGTGGCAGGCCCGTCTCGATTTTCTGCCAGTCTTTGTCAGGTGCGGGGCACGCCTTGCCCTCTCCCATATCTCATAGGCTTTTGCCTCCGCGTGGCATGTGGCCCCATGGCGCGAGCCTGCCCTCGAGACCGTTTCCCCCTGCCCGTGCCGGCCTCTCCTGACCCCCCCAAACCTCCGTCTCGCGCAAAGTTGGTAGGTGGGAGACTTGAGTCCACCCGCCAATCGGATTCCCTGGTCTCGGAGGTTGTGACGGTCTCGAATGGGATGCACGGGGCTGGAGTCTCTCGGGCGAACGATGCGGAATCTATGGCCCGGGAGGCTTGTCTCGCGCATATCAGACGGGCTGTCGAACGGTTTGGAAGGCCCCCCGAAGGTCTCACCTCTGCATGGGGCCTTGCGAGAGCTCCGCATCAACCCTGGTTACTCTACGGTTGGTAGCGCAGTGGTTCCCGCCAGCGAGGCTAATGCACATCGCGTTGCTCTTCCTCCTCGAGGCTGGTCGCCGACAGGACTGCTGCAATTGGGCGGCGCGATCGGCTCCGCCGTGGCTGGCGAGCTCAACGCGTTTCGACTTCCTGATCCAGCGGGCGCAGACTCCCCGTCCAGACCTCCCAGAATCTACAATGATCATCACCTTCGATCTCATCTTAAAGTGCGCGGCCAATTTCTACATCGGCTCCGTGGTTCCAACCTGGTCTCGCGGTAGCGAGGTTGCATCTCTCGCGCGGGCGGGCGAAAAAGAACGGCTACCTGCGTCTCATTTTGGACGGCCGAGCCGCGGGCGGGCACTTCGGAGGCCCCCCGCGCGTTGACCTCGCAGCGGGTTCAGCCTTCTCAGCCCTGGAGGAGGATAGTGGGGGTCCTATATACACTGGGATGACATATAGAGAACGCGTTGTACGGCGCTCAGTTACCTGGGGAATACTGGCAGCACACGGGCCCCCTCGGATCCGAGCGGGCGCCCGGGGAATCTCAGCCGACCGTGATGGAGGCCCGTTGCGGCCCAGCGATTGGGCCCCCCTCCTGCTTTGCCGCCGTTCCCACGGGATGGGCGCGCAGCCTTTGGATATGCCAGAGAATTATGTAATGCCGTGCCCGCGTGAATACCTTTGCCTCTCCGAAGTTGGCCTTCGATGATGCTCATCTCCCCGTCCGACTGGCGCGGTCTTCAAACCGGACGATGCACGCGGAGTGCGTCGACAATTTCGTTGCTCTGAGGCTCTCCGAGGGCCCGACCCTGGCAGTGACTGAGTCGGTCGACCGCAGCCTCCGGGAGGCTGGACTGCGCGCTCACGGCGCGACGGCGTCAGCGGGCGGGGGCGTTCTCGGCTGGACCTCCGACCCCCGCGCGCCGGCCGCGGGCGTCAGTCACCGCGCAGGCTGGCGCATCCGAATGGGATGTCTGGCGGTGGCGAACATGAGCCTCACTTCGGGGGATCGCGTTCGGGTCGTCGCGTCGCGCATCACGTCCCGGGCGCTGTTGCGCCGCGAGCTGCTCCCCTGCCTGCAAGCATCCTGCGCTTTCATTGAGAGTACTGGTCGTCATTTCTCTCGTCCGTTGTGGAGGTCTGTCAGCCAGGAGCTTCGCTGGTGCGCTTCCCTCATTGCCCTCGCTTTCCGCGATGTCAACGCCGCCTGGGCCCCGATGGTTTGCTGGGCGGATGCATCCTGGTGGGGCGCTGGTGTGGTGAGGGGCCATCGTGCCCAGGAGGTTGCCCAGGAGGTGGGCCACTACTCGGAGCGCATGCGGCACTCTGCGGCCCACAAAGCTTTCCTCGACGAGCCGCGGGATTCTGCCTTGAAGTGCTCGTCAGCGGCGGCGTCGTCGCCTCCCCGCGGGGCGACTCCGAGCTCCCGAGGGCCCCGTTCCCCGAGCTTCCCAAGGCCATGTGCGACGGCGACTGGTCCCGCGTGATGTCCCAGAAGTGGTCCCGCTCGGAGGCTCAGGTCGTCTGGGAGGCTCGGGCTCCGGTGCTCACCGCGAAGCGTATCGTTCGGAACGTCTCGAACTTCGGTCGCAAGCGCCTGATCCTGAATGACAGCATGGCGCCGAGCCCTGGCATGCTTCAGCGTTGCCGCCAGATCGCAACCCTTCTCGTTGAATCGAACCCGACTGAGTCCCGTCTGAGTCCAAATCCCAACCCTTCTCGTCGGATGGCAATGGGTCCCGTCTGAGTCCAATGCAGCTGATGCCGCTTCTCGAGGTCGGGTTGGCGCCTTTCGCTTCAATGCTGCACCGAACCCAGTTGCGGCACTCGGCCCAGACGGGCTCGAGGCCCTACGCGTTGGCTTCTGCGGCGGCGGGCGCGGTGGCGAGCCTGGCGCTGATGCCGTGCATCCACCGGGCTCGCGCGGGCACCCTCATGCGCTCGGTGAGTGCACCAACAAACCTCGCGGCCCCGACCAGGCCGAGGCCGCATCGCGAGCGGGTGCCCCGCGGCCCCGGCGCGGCGGAGGTGAGAGCGGCCCAGCGGGGCAGAGCCTTCCCGCTGGCCGCCGCCGCTCAGCCGGCGACCGAGCAGCCGTCGTTCCTCGAGCTGCAGAGCGTCACCCCGAAGGTCGCCCAGGATTACCATGCGTGCGTGGGCGCCTTCCGCCAGTGGTGCCTGGCACGCGGCCTGAACCAGCACCTCGAGGATCTCGCGACCTCGGCCCCGGCGATCGACTTCGCTCTGGTGACATACATGCGCGAGAAGTTAGATCTTCGCAGGCGAGCTCGCCTGCGTGCCGACGAAGCTGATGGCAGGCCTCCGCTACTACTGGACCTTCCCTCGAGGCGCGGTGCCCGAGCTCCCTCGCAGCGCCCGAGCCTTGACGGGATGGGAGCAGACGGTGCCTGCCCAGAGCCGCCCGCCGCGCCCGCGGGTCGCCTTCTGCCTGTGCGCCCAGCACGTGATCGGGACAGGTCAAAGTGCGAGAGACCATCGCAAGCGTCATCGCCTTCACGTTGTACCTGCGCCCGAGCGAGCGCCTGCGCCCGAAGAGCAAGCTCATCACGGCCCCCGCGGCCCCTCGCGCGACGTCGCCGTCGGGCGCCGTCGGCCTCCGGTCGATCCTGCTGCGCCCTCAGGAGGGGGCCGACACCTCCAAGACGGGAAGAGTGGACGAGGGCTTGCTGCCGGACAACCTACTCTTCCTGTGGATCCCAACGGTGCTCGCGAACCTCAAGGCCAGGGCCCCAGCCGACTGACTCCCTAGGGTTCCGGTTCGCGCAGGCCCAGCGGGGCCGCTCCGAAGGCAGCTGCCGCCGCCGCCGGCCTGTCGGCGCTCGGGGAGTTCAGCCTGCGCTGGCTCCGCCACGGAGGAGCGTCGCACGACCTGCTCTTCAGGGCCAGGTTGCTTTTCGGCGCCAAGAAGAGAGGGCGCTGGGCCAGCGACAGGAACTTGGCCCGCTACGAGCGCGGCGGTCGGATCAACGGGCAGCGGAGCTTGCTCGACCTCAGCGCCCTCCCCACCGCGGAGACGGCGGCCCAGAACGTTGGCGACGTCCTCGCGAACGCCCCCCGCGGGCTGCGAGCTCTTGCGGCGGCCCAGCCACCCTCGAGATCTTCTCGGGATCGGGGCACCTCTCCGAGACCTGGAGACTGCCCCTACCGGGGAGGCATCCAGTTCTCGAGGTCGACATTCGCCATGGGCCCGACAGAGATATTTATGTATTGTCTCTGGTCAAACTTATCCAGGGGTGGATTCGGTTTGGGCTCGTGGTCGCCGTTTTCATGGAAACCCCGTGTAGCTCGTTCTGTGGCGCGCAACCGCCCGAACGGCCCCCCGCTCTCCGGGCCGCCGAGCACCCCGAAGGCCTCCCTGGACCGGACGAGTCTTGTCAGCGACGGGTCGATATTGGAAATAAGTTGTGTGCCGCTACCCTGTCCATATTTCGTGAATGGAATGCCGCCTTCGCGGATGTCCCGTGGTCGCCGAGAATCCAGCGAGCTCGCGAATCTGGAGGCGGCCCCGAATGGCTCGGACCCCAGGGGGCTCCCTGGCGTGATTGAAGTGGTTTTTGATATGTGCGCTTTCGGTGCTCGATGGAGAAAGTCCACGAGGCTTTTGGACTGCCATATTGATCTGCAGCCGCTGGGTTTTCGATGCTCGGGGAAAGGAGCATGCGGCTTCTCTCGCCTTCCTCACGAGACTCTCGAGATGAAAGCTCCAAGATCGTTTCCAAGCAGGCGGAGGTGCATCCGATACCCTTACGAGTTTAGTCGCGCTCTGGTGGCGTGTTTTCGAAATGTCATCGCATCTATGGGCGTTCAGAAACTTCGGCTCCACTTGGGATGAGTCCAGGACGGCGTTCGCAAATGTCTTGGGCCACTTTGCGGGGTCGGTGGTTTCGATTGAACAGCTGCTCTATACCCGTGGCGTTCCCATCGCTATATCTGCACCTTTCGGGGACACGCACGTCAAACACGGACAGAACAAGCCCTGGCGGAAGAT